AATGTTGTTCGAGATTGGAGACTACTTATTAATATTGTAAGAAAATAAAAGAAATATGTTCGACTACGCATATGTGCATACATAATACCAACATCCCGGTCATAAACCTCGAACACTTACGCTGAAGAATTATTTATGTGCGTCGCCGCAAGTGAGAACAAATTTAAAAGCTGGCTGTTTATTTATTTGATTCGTTAGGTGCCTACTTCATTTTTTTGTGATACTTTATCATTTGCAAGATATTAAGAGATCAAACTTTATTTCAGGTCTTTGTCCTGTCTTTGAGAGACTCCTTTTATGAGGCCAAAGATTATCATTTTTAAATGTAGAATTTGTATACTTCAAAGTTACAAGTAACAAAAAATTAATAACACAACAAAGTAAGTGTTCAATATATATATTCACAAGAAAGAATGCTGAATGCATATAAGGAAAATGAATCAATAATGTATAAATTTGGTGTAATATCCCGGAAAGAAAAGACGAATGGTAAACCTACACAAGAAAAATACATTCGGAAACGAACGGTTCCGCTTTATAATGACAAAACAAACAATAGCGTTGAAAAACGTTGCCTATGCGCATTAAGGTAGTATTCTTGAACCCGCAGCGGGCGATGTCATAAATGAAGGTAAAATATAGTCAGTAATCTCTTTTGTAAGTAACGACCATTTGTTTCTGACAAAATAACAACAATTTTCAAGAATTTTATAAATTAGCTGCCCGTCCTGGATTCTCACTGGTGTACTATATTTCACTTTTTCTGATATTTACAAACACGTCAAAAAAAAGAATCAGTTAAATAGGTGCAGTTATTCTGATAATGTGCTGCGTTTACATATATTCAAAGATTATTACATTCGCAATTATTTTTATTTGGTGGAAAGGGATTGTTAGTAAGAGGGTTTAAAAACCCCATTGCTAGCAATATACATTATCAGGGTGTTCCTTCCCGTTTCCCTATCGTGGTTAATTTTTGTTGGATTTGTTACTACGGACAGGTCAGTAGGATCTCCTTTCATCTTCACCAATCATCTTTCACTGGTGCACTGGTGGAAGTAATTTTGTTACATCTTGACACCTTAACGACTCAAGTTATATACATTAAATGTAATTTACATGTAGTATTTTTTTTTGATGGGTGAAAATGGTATAGTAACCCCGCCTGCGCTAACGGAATACGCTGGCGGAGCACCAGTGAAGGGTGATAGATGAGAGGATGAAAACAGGCCAGTTAGCCCATCATGATTAATTAATCATCAGGAATTAACCATGATAGTTTCCAGGGAGAACCGCGAGGAGGTCGACCTTGTTGGATATATTGTTAGCAATGGGATTCTCAGTCTCCATTACTAACAATCCCTTTCCCCCTCACATGTAGTATTTGGCATAGTAAAGGACATAGGCAATAGTCTAAAAAAATTTTATTTTTCTTTCAATCAATATTTCTCGATGCCGATGCGGCCATAAAATGTTATTGTTAAAATGTGATTTAAAAAGAAACTAATTCTTCTTCTTACTGCTATGTCGATTCCATATTATATTTAAGTTATTCTAGATCTAGACTATCATGATGAGTGTAGATATTATATAATAGTCAAGACTAATCTAATATTATAATTATTCAAATAGAAATGCTACGCGGTCAAAATGTTAGTTATATAAATACTTATTATTGATAAGAAGAATGTGTAATAGTTTTGTTTTCTTGTATATATATATATATATATATATATATATATATATATATATATATATATATATATATATATATATATATATATATATATAATTATAATACTTGTAATGTTAGATATATAGTAAATGTTGAAATGAGTTTTTTTTTTTATTATTATTATTACGAGGGATCGATTAGTTTTATTGACAGCGTTATAAATGTAACATCGATAATGATGTAATAATTTTAATTAAACCGAGTGTTCTTTTATGAAAGTTTATTACTAGCAAATACATAGATTGATTGAATAATCTTAGTGCAATGATTTATAAACGGTTTTATTAAAACAAATTAATTTTGTAAATATTGTTGTCAGTTAGTCGTCACCGTCATTATATCAGTCGTTTTTGCCCACTGATGAACGTGGCCCTACTCCATAGACTGTTATATATAACAGAAGAATTTCTTATGGTAGTTTACCATTGGAGCGTATTTGCCAGTAGTTATCCCGCTTGATAGGTGGATTAGAAACTGCAGTTTGGCTTTTCATGAGGTTTTAAGAGGGATGCTGATGCCTATTCCTCGATCATTAAGTTCTTTTAGTCACCTTTTACAACACTTATGGGAAAGGAAGAGGTATCTCATTCGATGCCAGGACCGGCTGGACAGTGACAAATAGTAAAATTAATTTTGAACTTTATGCAGTCAGACGAAAAATTCAATATCATTACGACACGGCATCATTTCGAATGATTTTCAATTAAGCCTAATTTATTTTCGTACAATATAATATATGCAGACAAAAGTATATCGTTAGTGTGTAGGTTATTACCTTTCAACATATTTGTTGGAAACGGATAATTATACTTTTGCATCCTTTAAGCATAAAGCCTCGATTTTCTATTGTTGTTCATTGTATATTAGAGGTTGAAGTAATTATGTACTTATTATTAAGGACTTGCTAAAACGGAAACCTTGGTAAAATAGACTCAGCTCTCGGTCTCTTTTTTGTATGATTGATGATAAATTTGACATTAATCATTCATAAAAATTAATTAATTTACGTGGCTTCTTTTTTACGAAATTGGGTATTTATTCTGTCTGAGAATTTATTTTGTACTTTATATAAGTTCAAAATAAATTTCACGAGAGTTTGAAAACGCCTATGAATATTTAGAAATTTATAATTTTGTGTTACCTTTATTTCTATTATTTTATCAATCTATCAAACTTCATGCTAAGTCTCTTATAATTATATTTATTATTAGAATAATGAAGTTTATTGAATAAATTGGAAAACCATTAACCTACTTACATTTAAGCAATTTTTTCTTTCATTACTTTTATTTTAAATCCTAATAAAACAATAGCCCGATTTATTTTTTGCTGAATGTCTATTTTTATCTGATCATATTCTAGGTGCCTAACAATATAAGAATTAGTATTGCACTTTAACAATCTTACAAAAAGTGAACAATTATATTCAACACAATCTACCATTCTATCTTTAGAATTGGGACATAGAAGTGTTTTACACAAAGGAAAATGAGATTTTTGCCATAGCGATTGAGACTACTATTGTTTGTGGTGTTTCTATAATTTTTCGTCGATTCATTACGGTGTTATCAAAATTTTGCCGCCACTGAGCATCTGGGTCGGTCTGATTACTGTGAACAACATAATTAATATAGGTACTGTAATGCTCGTAAAATATGTAATTGACGTTTTTATTATATTTGTAAATACATATAGTTTATATGCATTGAAGTATATTAAAAGCATTTAACTATGCAAATTACAAGAATAGAATAAAAATTTAAATACTGAACGTTTTGAAAATAAAGTTAGAAAACACACAAACAGTACGAAAAAAATAATAATGAAAAAGCAAATAAATGAAATTGCCAAATGCTCTTTTGGCGCTCAGTTGGACACACAATTGGAAATACAGTAAAGAAAGATTACATTTTATAAATCTGAGGGCGTTACATTAATATGTTGAATATTGAAATATATCTTATGTATAAGTATAACGATGAAACGATAGTTGTAACCTTAATGTCAGTTACATTAGTTGTTGTTTATTAAAGGGATTTTTTTATTAGAGACTAATCTCTTCTAACTCTTTCTTCTTCTTATAGTAAATCTCCAGCTAGAGAAGGTTGGCTATCAGATAACGGCATCTGTCTATATTTCTTGCAAGATGAAAGTTTCTGACTGCACTCGTAATGTCCATCCAACCCCGGATATAATAGAGCCCAGACTTCTACGATCTATTCTTCGCTTATCAACAATTTTGCCCTTAGAACATGGAAGCTATCCGTTCAGAATTATAATTATTAATAGAATTATAACAATATAGAAGATGTGTACGTAAGCTCTCTTTTAATTCTTTACATCAGTTTATTACATTTAAAACAATTATATAGAATATATAATAATTAATTAAATTTAGTTAGATCCGAATTGAGACATCATTTAAACGAAATAAATTGATAATGATGCTCCACTAAGGACATTACTGTTATAATTATAAAGTAAATACTATGAGCAATAAATCTTCAGTACGAGGGGTTTATAATAGGCGTTTCAAAATTAAAGAATACCTACTTTTTAAAAGATTATCTGTCATTGATTATTAAAGATCTTTTTTTATTATTAAGGCTTTTATGTTTAATTGCTTTACTAAATCCAGGGAATGAAGATATGCTATATTGTTACTTGCAGTAGGTCATTGTCAGACAAAGCGAGACAATTTTATTTAGTGTGAAATTCGCCGCTAAAGTTCTTCGCCTCTTTTGCAACTAGTATCTGAACAGTTTTGAATCGGGCTTGCACAAGTTTTTTTGCAATGCAGTCTCTCTGACACTATGACACTTTCCTTGAATTTTGACTTGAATACAAGGCGTTTTAAGTTCGCATCGGTTTGAATATTTTACAATTCTCGCGCAAAATGTTACTATAAACTGTAAACAATTTCCAGTCAAGGAAATGTAGAGTTGTTTTATTACCATATTAATTGAACTGGTAATATAATATTTCAACCCACGTTTTCTATAATTTATTAATTATTACCATTACTACCATTAAATAAATAATAAACAGCAGTTGAGTTTCTTGTCTGTTCTTCCCAGCTAAAATTGCATTGCAAATAGGTGGTAGAGTACTAAAAAAATTATTATTCAAAAATACTTATAACCAAGTTTGTTTGTATTTAATAATACTAAAGCATTTCGTAAATTCTCATTTGAAACTATTCATGCAGTTGATTTAAAGAATATTATTGATGTATAAGAAATTTAGTTAACTTGTTTAAACTTACCTATATTTTTAAAGGCCTGTTTAGAATCGCCCGTAGGAACAGCTGTTGCAGTAGCAATAATTAAAAATAAGAAAGGCATCCTTGCACTTGCACCCATTTTTTTTAAAGTCACGATTTGTTATTACAATAATTTCTATTTATCTTTGTAATACAATTCACGATATATTTGACGCAACTATTTCCCGCGTGCATTCGGTAACATTTGCGTCTCATACACGTCCGTTGAGCTCCGCGTACTGTTGCAGACTAAACCTCTCTGTTGTACTTTCTACTAGCTTTATGCGCAAGCGCAGCACGATACTGCACCCGCAGTGCGCACCATTGTGATTGCGCTTTCCTATTGATTGTGGATACGATTTTGCGATTCATATACATTGCAAAACGGTTATTAACCTCGGAGAATTTAATGTTCTTATGAATTAGTAATATAGCATATTTATAAATATGCTTAGTCATTCTGAACTTGTCATAACATTTATCTTACACATTATACAAATTTTAATGGTAATTAATGGTAGTAACTACTACTTATTTGAGTAATGTTTAATCTTTTTAATTGATATGAGAGTGATGTAAAAATATACAAATGTGAAACATTTCGAACTTGATATTCAGGCTCAATGTGCCTTTCGCTATTCGGGGATCACTTCCGGTTTTAAACCTGTTAATCACTGAGATATCATTGAATAAATGGTGATTACTCCTCACTTACTTGGATGAAGTTTATTAAATTTTTTGTGTATCCGTCAGGGCTAACCCAGGTCCATTTTTTATGTGGCCGCTTTTGGAAAAAGGAGTTATAAAGAGTCCCTTTTTTTCCATGAAGTCAGCCAATTGCTACCTCCTAAAATTTTGATGCCCGATAAAGTTCTCCATCCTCGTTTTTTTTTTATTTTTATAAAGCTTAGAATGGCAAACAAGCTGACGGCCCACCTGATGGAAAGTGGTAACCGTCGCCTATAGACATGAGCAGTACCATGGACGTAACAGAGTATACTGTTTCGCCCATGATATCCCCCATGCGTTGCCATTCCTGAGGAGTCAGGTGTTATTCCTCTGTACCCAGTAAATTCACGCCATATCCCACCCTTCAAACCGAAACACAACCATGCAAACACAACTGCTTCACGGTTGAAACACGAATGGGACAGAGGTACCCAAGCAATCGACTTTTGTACAAAGTCTCCCTCTGGTAAAGTTGTTTCCTCCCTCGTTTCATCGTCTTTATTTTTGTCCAGCTTATCGTTGAAGTCCCCCATTAATATTGAATATTAGAGGAATTTATGGTTCTTGAAAATCATATATGAGTATTGCCTCCACCTCATTATTGGAGTGTGTTACGGTCAGCGTATATTCCTATATAACCTTCAGCGAACACCTATTGGTAATTCTGAGTACTACGTATACTACTCTTGCAGACACGCTCTTGATCTTTAAGACGTTATTAACGAGGGAGTTGCGGACGATGAACCCGATACCACCACGGACTGGAGGGGCGACCTTTCGGTGGTAGAGTTACCGGATTCAAGAATCATCGTATCCTCCCCCTGTCTTCCGACTTCAGATACCTTTTCTTCGGGCTCCACAATCTTCTCATCGGTCCTCAAAGTACGTGTATTATGTTGCCAGGTCCAGGGGTTTTTGGTGGTAGCCGAATTTTTGCCGGATATTCTTAGAACCCCCTGCTCTGCCTGTTATCATATTCGTTAAAATAATTCAATACCGTATTTGGTATTGAATTCTTTTAACTATCGCAATGAGAGACTAGTTAGATACTTATATGAATGTATGTTTGTAGAAAAATCGTATCGATACACATTGTATACTTAAGATGGCATCAGAGTTAATAACTAAATTGCGCATATCCAACTACGTACAACTAGGCACGTGTTTCTTCATAAAATCATTATTCATCGACCACTTATCCATGAAAAGCAGGTTAATAGTCTTTTTTCACTAATTCAGAACACGCTCTGTTTGTTTGGTATACGACTATTTGTTTAAATAAAATTTTCAATATAAAATATGTGTTAAAAAATTATCGAATAGTTTTTATGAAATATTCAAAAATATTTTCCTTGGAGAAAATTTTAAGGTGTGACCAATATTATCGCTGGATTTCGGTTTATGCTAAAGTGAAAAAAATTATTTACAAATTCATTCAATATCCATAGACCATCTTAGATATAAGTGAATACAAGCTTAAACATTATTGACAATAATTTAGCATTTTTCTCTTCTTGTTTATAATTTGTAAATTTCATGCCCTCAATTATTATTGGAATTGCTGCCGCCCTAAGGTTATCCATCCATTTAAAAGAAGATTTAATACACTTAAAATTTTAATAAGTGTGAGTTGTTTAGATATTTGTTACTCAATAACGCTTATACGGCTATATGGATTTGAATGGAATTAGGTATACAAATGATTATATCCTGAATCACCACATTGGATACTTTTGTCCTAATTTGTATGATCAAAGCCGTGGTTTATAGTTAGTCTTTAATAAATTGATTTCTTCTACGGCTCTGTCGGTGTTTGCAACATGAATCTAGTTGGTCGGATGCTGCTTACCAGACCATAACACTTGAAGGCCGTCAGACTGCTGCAAGGTATATTGTTTTCAGTATTAAATTAAGAAAAAGAAAAAGAAAAGAAAATATTTTATTCAGTGCAATGTAAAAAATACAATATAAACAACAAACGAAAAAAAAAATGAGCAAATAAAATGTACATATAATTAAAATTAATTTACCATAATTAAAAATAAACATAAAATAATCATTTTTACATGCAAAAATGCACTGAAATTGTTCCACTCAGCTTTAATGTATGTCCTAGGTGAACATACAGCTGGTTTTCAGTGGCACCAAAAATATATATATAAAAAAAGGGGGGAGAGAGAGGGCACTATTTATAATATTCATGATAATAATTAAAACAAAATTACAACTAATAAATACAAACCAATTACATATACTAGAAAGAACAAAATAGAATAAAATAACATTAATAAATATAAAGATTAAACATATATATACAACTACTTTGCCGTAAGATTTATAGGTTAAATAGTACATAGATAATTCTTGTATAGTTTTTTAAAGGTGAATAATGATTTGGCGTTCCTAACTGGTGGTGGAAGATTGTTCCAGCATTTCGTAGCAGCGTACTGGAAGCTACCACGAAAAGCAGCTGTTCTGTATCGTGGACAAAGTAAAAGAGAATTTATTCTTATGTTACGCTTTGAAAAATTTAATTTATCATACAGATATGAGGGCTTTTTACTGTGTATTACGCCAAAAAGCAATGAAGCAAAATGTAAATTTCGACGTGCTGTCATATTTAACAAGTTATTCTGTTCCAAAAAGGGAGTGATATGAGCACGACGAGCAATAGGAAAGCAAAATCGAGCACATGCGTTTTGGATACGTTGTATCATTTTCTTAGTTCGAGCTAAAAGGCACTCCCCAAACACATTATCAGCGTAATTAAACTTAGACAACACTAACGCTTCGCACAGTTTGATTTGAATATCAAAATTACATCAAAACAGGAGCAAGAAAAAAACTTTGGATTTGCACATTTTGAATTCTGAAAACTTTTCGACTAAAACGTTTTCTTGTTCAGTGATTAAAATCTAAGAAGCAATTTTTCATACCCCTTTAACGGTTGACAGGTGTCTAGTTTTTATTTGTGAGAGAATAATGGAATATATCTTATGTTAGTCCGTATTGATACAAATTTATAATTGTAAAATAAATTTTTATCGAAAACATTTGAGTTTATTGCCTGTTCTTATCAGCTGAAGTTGCATTCCCGAATGCACATAGATTGGCGAAGTTTTACAGAAATATAAAGGGGTAGGTATATAAGGTTTCAAATGACAAACAATTTATAGACTTATCTTAATATATGTTATATTATTTAAAAAATAAACACTTTAAAGAATGAATCATTTATTCTGTATACTATGATTTACTTATAAAACGGAAAGTAATAATTATATTATTAAAATTATTATAAAATTTGTATAAATAAAAAAAAAGCAAAAATAATTACTTTACATAAAAGTAAATTAAGTAGTTCTCACTGGAAACCATCGTGCTGAGTTCCAGTAGTATTCATCACGATAAGCTAACTGCCTAACCTAAAGCCTTTTCATTTTAACTTATCATTCCTTACTAGTGCCCCACCAGTAGTTAATGTTAGCACAGGCAGTTATCATTCCATTATCATTCGTTAAAAAAACCACTTTTCAATCGCCAAGTAGCTGTGCTTAGTTTTGGTTTGAAGGGTGAAATATTGCAGTAAAATTTAGGGTACAGAAGTCAAAATATACTCTTCTAAGATGGTACCGTGTGTGGGAGTTTCTGTTAGCCTCAGAGTGTATTCTGCGGTTAACATGGTTCTTCTATAGATGACGGTTATCATGTTCCATCGAAATCACTTTAGATAGTAAACTAACGTTTGGACTTCACATAAAGCGTGCCCGCAATAAAGCTGCAATCGTTCTTGAACAGATTTATCCTTTCGTCAACAAGCATAGTGAAATGTTGCTTAATAATAAGCTGACATTACACAAAGCTTTAGGCCTATCCTCACTTATGACAGTCCCGTATTCGCATATGCAGCACTCTGCTTTCTTAAAAGGGTCTAGATGTTACAAAATAAATCCCGACGATCCCATCACTGCAGAAAATACTCTTATCATTCTTCCCGCCCCGCCTTATCTTCATTATCATACACATACGAGTACACGGCGACACTGTTCTCGCTAGTGAGGGCGAAGACCCCAACCACACACTTCAGCGCCCGGGTACTTAGTTCCGGCACTTTAGTCGATCCGAAACAACCCTCCTGTCCCTTCAGGTGGAAATTGAGATACAACGGCCTGAGCCGAGGTTCGAACCATCTCGCTGTGCTCTCAGACTATTTAAGGTATATCCGGTGGGCAGAAGACGGTGAAAGGCTGCTCGATAAGTTCTTCCGCGAGGTTGGAGTACAGTCTGCTCTCGCCTCGTTTTTACATTAGTAGTTGTTATGTTAATGTAGAAAAGTTTGCAACAACCAAAGAATGTGTCTTACGTCGCGATGATGTTGGAACTGATGTTGGATAATCTTTTCCACAGATATTATAAAAATATAAGTACTTTTTATAATTTTTACTAATAATAAAATTATAAAAAGTATTGTTTTTACTAATAATAAAATTATGAATAAGAAAGCGAATGCATTTGTTTGTCTTGGTGCCTTAATCGATCGATCAATCTTCATGAATTTTGGTGTACATTACTATATTA